TTTGGGCCCCCCCCCCCCCCCCCCCCCCCCCCCCTTTTGGGGGGGTTTTCCCCTTTTTTTGGGCCCAACTTTCCGGGGTTTGGGGGTTTTTTTTTTCCCCCCCTCCCTTTTTGGGCCCCCCCCCCCCCCCCCCCCCCCCCCGGTCTGTATTTATTTGTTCGGGACGCATGACTTTGTTTCTTCTTATCTTCTACTACAAGGGAACGCCATGGGCATGAACATGATCAGCAAAGGCTGCGAGGCCGCGGTGCGAGAGATCCAGAAGCGATTCAAGCAGGCGAGGCTAGTGGCGTTGTCGGGCAACGTGTGCACCGACAAGAAGGCGTCCGCGCAGAACTGGGTCGAAGGGCGAGGAAAATCTGTAGTGGTGAGGTTTACTGCAGACACGAAAGTTTTAGGGGCCCCGTGTACCATGTGCGTGTGTGCGTGTGTGTGTTTATATTTGGCATCGACCGCGCAAACCAGCTGACCAATGTTGAAAGCAGAAGAAAGGTTCTAAAAGGCCATGATCTGGGACCCCGTGAGGGGGCGCCATGGGGGAGGCTAAGCTACACTCCGGATTAAAAAACTCCTTGTGTGTGTTTCGGTAGGTAACATCGACCGCGCTACATAGCCGGCTGAACATGACGTTACTCTCGGCGCGTCTAAAATGTGTGTGTACATTCCACCACCGACGAGAAATGGAACCTTGTGGCACCATGTTTGTTCCCGTTCCATCATTTTCACGGAATTCCGCGCAGGCCGAGGCGGTACTGTCGGCGAAAACCGTGTCGTCCGTCCTCAAGACCACGGTGGACCAGATGGTGGAGTGCAACATCTCCAAGAATCTCGTCGGGTCGGCCATGGCCGGGAGCATTGGCGGCTTCAACTCGCACGCCGCGAACGTGAGACTTTTTCTATCATGGTCGTTTTTTTGTTTTTTGTGTGGATACAGCGGTAGTAGTGACACCTCTCCTCGTTTCATGACGGTGTGCTCGTCGTCACCGACAACCTCTTCCGCAGCAGTCCCAGCCAATAGGTCTTGTTGAATAATGACCACCGCTAGCCCCCCATACTGTTGGTATTTCGTCATGGGCGCTTCTGCTCTCGCCGTGATGTTGTGTGCTGTGCCATCGTGTTCGTGATGATTATTCTGGGTCTTGTTTTGTTTTCCACTGAAGGAGTCCCCGTCAGTTGGTCCGGTACTACTGTTGGAAGGCACCGAGCAGAGATCGGAACGGCTTTCTAAAGCAAGTATATCACCTCCAACACCGCCAACAGCAACAACCACCACAGCCGCACCACCACCACCACCACCGATACAACAACATGGAGATGCCGACGTCATCATCCTCGCGGCACACCACATCCCGTGCGCGCGCTCCTTTTTTTTTATTTTCGCGCCAGGTGGTAGCCGCCGTCTTCCTGGCCACGGGTCAAGACCCCGCCCACACCGTCGAGGGCAGCAGCTGCATCACGCTCATGGAGAAGGTCAAGCCCGGCGAGGAAGGGAGCGGCGGCGGCGGCCGACCCGGCGACCTCCGCGTGACGGTGACGATGCCGTCGCTTCTGGTGGGTACCGTCGGAGGCGGCACCGGCCTCCCCGCGCAGTCCGCGTGCCTCCGGCTGATGGGTTGCGGCCAGCCCGTCGAGGACGCTGGTGGTGATGGTGGTGTTGATGGTGGTGGTGGTGGTGGTGGTGGTGGTGGCGTTGATGATGATGGGTGGGGTGGGTGTGGTGGTGGTGGTGCTCAGATGGGCTCTCAGAAAGCCGGGGTTGCTGGGGATACAGCGAGTCTTCCTGGCCATCCGAGCGCGAACGGCGAGAACGGCGGCGGCGGCGGCGGCGGCGGCGGAGATGGCGGCGGTGGCAGCAGCAGCAACATCCCGGGCAGCATCGACGAAGACACCGGTGGCAACGACGGTGGCGGTGGTGGCGGCGATGGCAGCGGTGAACAGCACACGGCTATCGGCCTTGTCGCCGAGGCCGCCGCGGCGATATCCCCGCTCCCCGGCGTCATCGCCGCCGCCGTCGCCGATGAGGCTGCGACTACCCCGAATGCTAGGGCCGGCGACAGTTCGGTGGGCGCAGCGGCGGAAACTCCCCTGCCGCCAGCTGCAACTCCAGGAAAAGGCAAGGGCAAGGCACCGGGGGGGGGGGCTAGGAAGTCCGGCGGCGGGGGTGGTTCACCAGGAAGTTCGTCCGCCGGTAACCCCCGAGAGAAGGGCGCCAGGCGCTTGGCTTGCGTGATTGCGGCGACCGTGATGGCGGGAGAGCTGTCCCTGTTGGCGGCGTTGACCTCGAACGACCTCGTCAGGGCACACATGGCCCTGAACAGGAAGAAGGGGGGTGCGCCTGGTGCCAGCGCCGGCGCCGTCGGCGCTGGTAGTGTCTTTTTTGGGGCCGCGTTCGCTCCGAGTCCACAAGCGGCACCAGCACCAACACCAGCACCAGCAACCGGACCAGCACCAGCAGCAACTCCTGCTGCCGCTTCGTTAGCGGCTGCAGTACCGGCTGGCGGGTCGACAAGAGCGGCTTCTCCGCGAGCTGCTGGAGGAGGGAGCGCAGCACCCAGGGTCCAACAGCCGGCTGGGGAGAGTGGTACCGGCGGCGGCGGCGGCGGCATCGATGCACACGCCGGCGGCAGTGGTGCTGACGGCAGCGAATCGGGAAGGTTGGATGTCTTCCCCGCGGCCGCTCCCACGGAGGCAACCGATGAGACAGAGAGCGAGGAGTCCACCAGCCCGGACCTGCAACAGCAGGAGGAGCAGGAGCAGGAACGGTCGAGTGGGGTGACAGAGGTACCACCACTACCGTCATCGGAGACGGCACAAAACTCAGGCGCTTCTGCGTCTGCTGCCGACCGCCCACACCAGGGAGCACAAGTCCTGATGCAGATGCAGATGGAAGGGGTACCGCCGCCGGAATCGGGAAAGGCAAACTACTCGCAGCAGCAGCAGCAGCAGCAGCAGCAGCAGCAGCAGCAGCAGGAGCCTCAAGCGGTGATGCAGCCGGAAGCGATGCAGCCGGGGCCGGCGGCGATGCACGCGGCCGTTCAAACGGCTCCGAGACTGGACGTGGGCGGTTGCGAGCAGCAGCAGCAGCAGCAGCAGCAGCAGCAGCCGGATGGATCGACAGCGGCGGCGGCATCGGTAGCAGCGGCAGGAGAGGCATCGGGCCCACCTTAGTAGTCCACGCGCACGTGACTCTGCATGCCGCAGCACGCAGGCAAGGGCGGTGTTGATGTTGTTGTACAGTAATGTGGGACGTGGAGGCGGACGGCGGCGGAATAAGAGTGCGGTTTGGCCAGCCCGCCTCTTCCCGGCCTCCAAAAGGGGGGAGAGAAACAGGCGCTGAAGTTGGAGGGCAAGCTTGACGCCAATTAAGACGAAGATATACCGGGAGTGTGATCGTTCCACGGGCTTGATTCGCGCGGGTTTTCTCCCTAGACTAGATGTGGGCAATCGTTTGAGATTGGGTAGCTTCGGCAAACACGCATTGCGGCTCAATGCACCCCCAGCCGCTGCGAAATGACCTGAAACACGATGTAAGAACGTATCACCCAAATGATGTGCTAAAAATATCAGTATCAACTGCTAAAAACTGCTGTTTTAGGTGTTCTCTTGGATACAGCACAGCATACGATGTCACATATGCATACACCATGAGCGATTTCAGTAGCACAAAACAATACCGGTTTCAGTATAGATGACATGGCACACTAAACGCGGTGTAATAAGCTGTTAAGGAAGTAACTTCAACGTGAAGAACGGTATTTCAGGAAATGTATCTAGAACGATCCACTGATGGATGCGATAGATTTCCTAGATCGGGCACATTTTCCTAGAACGGGGTTCAAGAACGCTCTCAAGAAAAAGTCCAGAATAAGATTAGAATGGTTTCCGGAACATTTTCGGAACGTCTTATAGAACGGCGTTTGGTTCCCGGAACGGTTCCGGACTGGTAGTAAGGCTTTTCGTGGTTTCGTCAGTAATCGACTATGTAAATTGCTGACCAGGCAGAGCGCATGCCCCCACCGGAGCTCACTCTGTTTCCTGCCCAGCTCAACAATAATACAAGAATGTACAACGTCTTTTCTCATTATTTCTCTTAGAACCAAATTCCATTTGGTTGAAGACTCACATCTACAGCGCACCTCCGCACACCTGTCACAAAAAAAGGTGTGGCACACGCTTCTGCTGCTACTTACCGCCGTAGGACAGGTCACTTTGAACATAAGACTACTATCTTTATTTTTGTGAGGATCTCTTCTCAGCAGATCTGACGTTCGCTGAAAAGAACACGCCATCTAACACAGGCAAAACCACCAGGAATTGTTCTCTTGACTACGTACACAGTCTTAGCAGAACATAAGTGTGGAGACCACCTTGACGAAGGTAAAATCTCCCCATCGTCTCGAGGACGATTCCCTCTTTTCACAATGGCGTCGACGAAGAGATGTCAGAATGTCTGCTATTGGTTGCAAAAGAATGTCTGCTCACCACATTTCTTCCGGACAACGGAAAAAAAAAGAAAGAAACACGGTGGGTGGGCCAAAGAAGGACGCACTGGCTATCGAACTCGGAACTTCTGATGACTGATGTGGCAGACGCAGCGAACCCCGTGTATTCACGCACAGAGGATTGTGAAGAACGTGACTCGCCCCGCTGCCAGCCGGTCGGGTTCCGGTTACCCCTACAGTAGAAGGCTTCTCTTGCCTAGCAACGAAGAACAGGTCTCGAAAACGGGGGGGGTAATGTGGAGACCACCTTGATAAAGGTATAATCTTCCCAACGTCTGTCGAGGACGATTCCCTCTATTCACGTAAGCCTCTGATTTCAACATGATGAGACCACCGCAAAGAGCGCGGCGCCTATTCTTTCCCGTGGGTTCCCGCATGGACACATTTTACTCTTGTGTGTTTGAAAGTGTTTGCGTCGGTGTCGCTCGCGTCCTGTGTGCTCAACATATTCGAGCCCGGCGATGCGCCACCTCTAGACCCACAGGCTCACGCTTGCTAATCTAACCGGCCATGGAAACACTCGTCGTCCACCCACCGACACCCCCCCTGTTCAAAGCTGTCGTCCTGACTTTGTACCTCCCTCCCGACAAACATCTGTATACCGCCAAACAGCGATAGATAGTAGTTGGTGGTGTGGGGTGTAATCTCCTGTATTGCTTCTCGTCGTCCCCGCATAATCTTTGGCTACATCGTTCTCTACGATGCAGGCGCTATGGCCACAAAAGAAACAGAAGGCGCAATGCCACAACCACGGATAACATGTGTTACTCTACTGCTGTTCTACATACAGCAGGACTACGTATGACCAACTCTACATAAAGAATCACAACGCTGTTTAGGATAGGAGAACTCTAATATATTATCTATCTCTGCTGCGCTATTTTCGAGCGGGCCGTTGTACTGTAGAACCCTCTACAACTACGTTGTTTTCAAACCTCGGGATATATCGTGACGCGGTTTGTAGCGCAAACATCATATGCTATCCTGGAAAAACTTTGCGCTAGCCTGGACCCTCTCCGACGCGTTCGGCTTTCCCTTCTTGTCGAACACCGCGCTCTCCACTTGATCATTTGTTGGCGGGCTTTGGTCCCAAGAACCCAGGAGCTCGCGCTTTCCGCTGCCTTCACCGATGAGGAAGAGCCTCCACGGGCCAGGGTAGCAGTACAGCAGCCGTAGCTGTTCGATAGATAGATAGATAGATAGAAAGGAGAGAGAGAGAGAGAGCGAGGGTTGAGGGAGCGACGACGGTGTGTGTGAGTGGTAATACTTGCGTACTCCTGCTCATGTCTGTTGTGGTGCAACCCTTAGGGTGATGGGGTGTGTGGGAACGACCACAAGCTTCTTTGGAGGGAGAAGGCAACGCTGAACTCTACAACACCGCCTTGGTCAGACAATCACCACATCGATGGGTTGGCTTCCACCACACGAGCACTAGAAAAAATCGAAAGGCGAAGAGCCAAAGGTCGAAAAACAATAACGCCCAGTTTCCCGTAGGCAAACATCGAAAGAAAGAGGAAACAACCAGCATCGGGGGACAATCATAAAAAAGGGGCCCCGGTTATAGGATTCAGGCCGATCGGTGTTCTCACCGTGTAACCGTAGACTACCAGGCTCTGGAGCGAGTAGGTGACCTCAAACTCGGACAGCGTCTCCTTTGCTTCTCCGGCCTGGAACAGCCCGAAGTCTGATGAGGACCTCCATGCAGGATTGACGAGCGCCACGAGCCGGGAGCCGGCGCCCGCCGCTACCTACTCCCCCGTTTGCAATTTTGTACCCGCGGGTTTTGGTCACGGGGTGTGTGTGTGTGGCGGTGAAAGATTCGCATACACCGAACAAGCGGGGCACATTACTATAGTACCACTGCGGTCGACCTTGAGCCAGTTGGCCTACATATTGGCGAGCAAAATTGAAGGGGATTATGCGCACAAGCGCTGCTTGTGACAGAGAAAAAAGGCTGTGGGGTACCATATCTACCCCTCAGGAAGGTGTAACGGGGTGACACCGAAGCGAGGTGAAAACGCGGTGAGATCGACAAGCAGTGCCAGCCGCCGGCTGCCGGACGTTGTGCTACCCCCTTCATTGAACCTACAACGTCAAAGCTAACATTCGCATTTGTATGCGGCAGTGATAGCACAGCGTCATTTCACTGGCTGCCGCCAACCTCCACGGCGCCTGGAGCTACAGGTTGTACTGTACACGTATGGTAGTAAAGCACGGGCAGAGCGGATGCAATGCTAGCAAATCTTAATCTTCACCTGTTGCTGCAAGGAGAGAGTGTCCGTTGTCGGGAAAATCATGACGGAGGCGTCGTCTTTGGCCTCCTTGCACTGCAGCTGCATGAGCCCCACCGCGTCAGACTCGTCAAGAATCTGCTCCACAATCGACGCGCCTTCCTGCGAGGAGGGGGGTATAGGGGTCGTGGTATGCTCATTCGTTGCTCGCCTTTGAGGAGCTAATTACGCATTTTTGCCATGCATCCGCCCCGAAATGGAGCAAAATTGTTTCAGATGTCTACTCCCATGGAGAGGAAGTCCCACAACCTTGCAATAGCTGACAATCCGTTTCAAACAGGCGGTGGCAGGGGTGTAGGACGTTCGTAACTGGCCTGTATAGCGCAGAAGCTCTGTCCTTGCAGGTTGAACTACACGCTCTTTCCGTTACTCACGCTCGCAGACCGTCAAATTTAGGCGACCGTGCTTCCTGACGAGGTGGATCCAGCTGTCGAGTACGCGGTCACCTGTGGAACGCGGGGGTCCCCTGAACCTAACATGCCTACTTTTGTCCATCTGTAACGCCCAACGCCGGTGGGGCAAACCCCTCCGGATAGATAAATCGCAGGCTTAATCTGTCCGATCGTAGGCGTGGCTCAATCACTTGACGGTCGCTTGCCGTCCACCCTCGTCGCCCTTCTCTCTCGTCTCGTTCCCTTTCCACCCCCTCCCTCCCCTCTCTCTGGCCTCCTCACCAAAACCCACGTCTGTGCTGTCCACGTTACTCTACACATGCCCCAACTTTTCATCGTCGTTGCTCATCGTGAGGACACCTTGCCTAGAGTTCGTAACTCTCCATCGACCACCGTGCTGTAGCCCCAAACCACACAAAATAGCAGAGCTGCGTAAAAGCCCCTAGATGAGGGCCTTTTTGCAAATCAATGGTGCCCAAATACCTCCCCTGCTATGCGTCGTCTTGCTCCGTGCAAGCAGACCCAAAAGCACTGCACGCAGCGAGCAGGTTGCTGTTGCTGTGGCACCAATCTGCATGGTTGATAAAATTTGGTAGTGTACGCGGCGGTATTACAGTACATCGTGTACGGATGCTGAGCGAGGATGATGGTGAGATGTACCAATCGTACCCCTTGCGTCAGTACCTTTGCCGCTGGATTTCCACGCAGCACGCTTTCCACCATTGGCCCACAGGCCTTGTAGCGTTGTCGATCCCCACCCGGCCAGTCGTCGATCTCGGTTTTCCCGATCAAAGGGAGGGACAGCCTCAAAATCTGGCGAGTCTTGCCGTCAGAGAGAGCCTACGAAAGCGGTAGAGCACACGCGCAACGGGGCGGCGAGGTTTACGGACTTCGAAAACTTTACAATGTGAGTCGTAGAGCAGGAAAATGGCGACAAGGGACTTTCGTTGCAAGTTACCAGGGTGCTCCCTCACGCACCTGCCACACCGCACGAGTTGCTTGCTCCACTTGAACGTCGTTGCTCATTGGGAGCTCTGCCCGTGCCCAGACGACATCCTCTCCGTCCTCCTCCTCCTCCTGCTTGCTGCTGCCGCCGCTGCTCGCATCCGAGGCTTCTGCGCTCTCTTCTTGCGCCGCTGTCGTTATGCTCCGACCCCTCGCTCTCCTCGCCAGCATGGCACCACGGCAAAGGCCGTCATGATAGACCCGTTCCCCGGTCTTGACCTTGCACGCGTGTCTTCCGAAACATGATCCCAATCGGACTGAGCTGGGCACGAAGGCACCCACGTTAGTGGGCGTAACGGTTAACAAAACCGCAGCGAGGGAAGAAGGGAGGCATTTCATCACACAGGGAATAGCACCACGGGGGCAAGATGGTCTCCCTCTCTCTCTATCGCACGCGCAGCCGCCGGGGGAGAGGAGTCCAAGAGTTGAGAGTTGAGGGAAAACGCGGAGGAATTACTGACGATGGCCTTGGGGGGACTGTAGGAAAAAGTTTTCCATCCCAGCAGGCGGAATCTGAAACCACCACCTGTCTTTCCGTCTTTTTCTGTTTGTCCGCCCTTCTCGTTCGAGGTTCACCCGAGCTGGTATGTGTGGTATCCCCTCCGCCCTTGTTGTTGTCCACTCTGAGCTCGAGCAACTCTCCGACGTTGATATCGCAACCTTTGTGAGAAAGTGCAACTGTAAATTAGAGGAGTACCCTACACATAAATATTGGTCTGAGCGATCGACACGGCAGCCGCAAGCATATCCTCTCCAAACCGCAAGATGCCATCAAGGGCGGCGAAGGCTGGGGCGGGAGGTAGATCTCTCGGCCCGAAAGCTGGGGGGGAGGTGGGGGTGCATGGAAAAAGTAGCGCTTCTCAACTAGACGAGGACCAGCTGCAGGTAAGCACATGCAGGGAATCGTGCCATCGTCAACAGCAGTAGTGTACGCGCGTCTACAAAAATACTGGTAACCTACAGCAGCAGTCTACCACCCCTCTAGTGCGCGGTGCAACGCGCTGCATTGGCAGGGGGCGGAAATAACGAAATAACACCACTGTAAGAGGCTGTTTTTTTCGCGAGAACTATCATGCGCGGTATTGGCATCCTGGGAATTTTGATCCATGGACGGGTGCCCTCCTAATACGCGAAGGGGGAACATGATGCTCGAGTACGATCCCAAGCGCTACCATTTCTCGTGGCCTTTGTAGACTCTACCGCAGTATTTCGCCGCGTTCTTTGCGTGTGTACGCTACAACCTCTGCTGTACGCTGTCTCCCTCGGTTGGTACAAGTTACACCGTCAATGGATACTGCAGATACCGGTCATCATTCGCTGGTAAACATATCAACAGGTTGTCTCAACGATACAGACAAACGTGCATCATGCCCGACTCGGTAGTGATAGATCGGCCCTTCGTAGAGTTGACCAGTATAAAAACTAAGACAAGCCCGCAGGGGGAAAGGTGGGGCAATATGTAGACTATAACAGAACAAGAAAATGAAGAAACTCCTGTGTGACCTTCCTCTTGTGTGACCCCGGCTGATACGTCAGGTATAGTCTATATACCGAACGGCCTGCAAACCGACGCCAGAATAGATGGGACGGACACCCACACCCACAGCCTCCCCCACGCCGCCCCCTCACGGGGTCCCACTTCATTGCATTTAGAAGTGTTTCATCCGCGCTGAGACTGACGTCTTTTCATTTGTCAGCCGGTTAGCGCGGTCGATGCGAATGATAAAAGACACATACACGTCTTGTAGCGCGGTCGATGCTAATAATAAAAACACACAAGACGACAGAGTGAAGTTGGTGGTACAGTACAACCAGTACAGTAGGGGGCCCGCTATAGTGCCGGTTGAATAGTGCCGGTGCCCGGTATAGTGCCGGTAAAATTTCGGGACACGGACAGCGCCCTCAATAGTGCCGGTTGGGCGCCGCTGTGCCCCCCAATAGTGCCGGTTCACTACTGCTGTAGTGCTGTAGACACACACACACACACACCACAACACACGCCAGAGGACAGACGCCACACTGAAAATAGTGTACACCTGCTGCTGCAGACCCTAAGAGCTCTACGCAGAGGCGCACGCACCATGCCTTGTGCGGAAGATGGCGATGATTGCAGCGCATTCCGCTAAGCGGGTGCGCCAGGCAGACATGAGAGAGTTTGTTGCTGCCACGGAGTAAGGTCGAGGGGTACAGCTGTTGTAGCAATGGTTGTTTGCTTTTGCTTCCAGTGCGCTTCCTGTCGTGCTTTTCTTTTTGTCTTGTTTCTTCTAGTAACATCCAAGGGGGTGCGCCAGGCAGACATTAGGGAGTTGCTGCTACGTTGCGAGGGCGGCGGGTATAACTGTGGTAGGTAGTAATGGTTGTTTTTTTCTCGCGGTGCGCTTCCTGTCGTGCTTGTGTTCTTCGGGTTGTTTTGATTATTTCTTGCAACATCCAAGGGGTGCGCCAGCAGGCAAACATGATAGAGTTGCTGGTACGTAGTGAGGGCGGGGAGAATAGCTGTGGTAGCATGTAATGGCCGTTTATTTTCCGTGCGGTGCGCTTCCTGTCGTGGTTCTCTGCTGTCTTTTTTTTATCTGGTAACATCGAAGGAGAGCAACGAGGACTTACACGTCCACTCATAGTACACACATATTCGATCCACGATCCACATCGTACTGTGTTGGCCCCGCAAAGCTTGAGCCGCTAACACCATGAAACCACCACCTCCTCAATAGTGCCGGACCGGCACTACTGAGGGATATTCGAAGCCTCAATAGTGCCGGTCCGGCACTATTGAGGCACTATTCTGAATACTGCCGGTGCCCGCTATAGTGCCGCTTTTCCCTCTGGACACTACCCGGCACTATAGCGGGCCCACTACTGTACAACATTTTTCGTTCGCCGATGCCGCATGCCCGTGCATTGGATCTCACGCTATTTCTGCTGTCCGCAATCGCAGGCGATGAAGCAGAAAGTGGAAACCCTGCAAGCAGATCTGAGTCGAAGACAGGAAAGTTACATTCGGAGGGAGCGCGCTTTTAACATGCGAATCGAAGAGCTGGAGGAGGAAGTGGGGAGCTTAAAGGTGCAGGCAGTAGTGCGGCAGGGAAGTAGTACGGGCATGTTTTTCACTCAAGAAGGCAAACCTACCGGGGTATCTATTACTTGTGACCACGGTTAGAAGAGGTAGTGCGACTGAGTGACTGACTAAGCAGCGCGTCGATGAAACAACTCAACGTGTCGAGATTTGATTGTTGCCGTATCTTTTCCTGATGATGGTAAAGACGACATGTTGTTGGTGAGCACTTGGTTTCGTCGGTAAACGTCTCCCCTCGTTCGTTGTGTGTGCCAAGCATGGCTCAAGAAACCAGTAGTACTGCATGCCCTTCATGCTTTTAATGACTTCCAACCATTGTTTGGGCCAAGATGTTGTCGTACGTAGAGTGTTTGTCCAAAACTCTTTGTCAACATGCCATCACCAAAGGCGTTTTTGCAGCGTTCATGCTCTCACAAACTTTTCGTAGTTGACGTTCACACCTGTCGACTTCGAAATATTTTACAACTTTCACCTTATTCCAACCCATCCCATTCCATCTCATCTTGTGGTAAAACCAACAACGACGACAGTCGGGGAAAATGTCTTGGATGCAAGGGAATCACAGCATGGAGAGCCTCAAGAACATGCACCAGCAGATCCTGCACAACGTGGAGATGGTCCAGGACAGGAGCTCCAAGATCTTGCAAGAGCAGGAGAAGGACCTTCTCCGAGCTTTCCGAGCCAGGCTATTCGACGTTCAGGTGAGGAGAGAGAGAAAGAGCGTTCAGGTGAGGAGAGAGAGGGAGAGAGCGAGAGAGAGAGAGAGAGACGGCGACAAAGAAAGACATCTTGAGAAACTTCATGAAAGAAGCGGTTAAAGTAATCTGGCGTGCGCAGCTAGCTCTGCGCCGTGGTCTATGGGACTTTGAACCCCAATCACACCCATCAAAGCTAGTTTCAGCATCACCAGGGTGGCAAGCCTCTGGCAGAAGACGCTTTCTGGATGGGAACGGAGCACGGAGGCAACTGCCGCGTAGTGTTCGCTTGGCGTACATCAAGCAGGGCCTCAATTTGAGCATCTATATACTGTAGCTTGGGTCAGGAAAGGGAGTGGCGCGCGCTCAGTCCTTGAGAAGACGGCGACAATACGATCAATGCCCAGACGCCCAGACGAACTTAAGGTTTCGACCCCCGTCATCTGTGTTGTTGCAGAGGTCGTTCGCGACATTGTTCTCCCTCAATCCGTCGTGCCACAAGCGGTGCTTGAGATTGTGTGGTTTACTTGGCCCTAGGGCCTCTCAGCGGATACCCCTCGGCGACACGCATGTGATGCAGCAATGGGTACCCGGTCGGTATCCCCCCCTCCCCGCCCAGGCTTTTGTGCGGATTGGATGGTGCCCCTTCAGCCTACCATGATGGACATTAAGGACACGCCCTTCCCCCTCCTTGCTCAGGCTTTGTACGGATTGAACGCTGACCCTTCAGCCTTTCACCATAAAAATGGAGCACTTCCACACCTTCACCTTCTACCACCTCAGGTGTACTCAACCGCGTACCATAATGTTGCAGGCCGAGACCTCCTTCCCTATTCGCATGGCACCCGTGCACGATTTGTGAATCCGCAGACAGAGCTGGAGAAAGAAAAGACCCGCAAGGACGGCGGGGACAGTGCCTGGATCGAGCGTACGCGGAGGACGGAGGCGGAGCTGGACTGGGCGAAGGAGATGGCGGACCGCCTCGACAGGGTCAACCAGGGGCTCAGCAGGGAGAACTTGAGGCTGAAGAGTCAGTTCAAGAGCCAGGAGGACGACCGCAAGTTCCTCATAAAGCAGCTAGTGGCCATCAAGGTGAAAATAAAAGTGCCGGAATGTTGGTCTGTCTCACCCCATAAAAATGTTTAAGAACAACCCTCACCACTACCTGTATCGCCCCCCCTCTTCTGCAATAAAGAAATTTCTTCTCCCACCACCAATCCCGTTCCTGGCACCCCCGGGGTCATCACGCACGAGTGACTCGAACGATAGTTTCCCAATCTTCAACTTTTGGGAGGCCAAACTAGGGTAGCGCCCCCCCCGAAAACACACACACACACACACACACACGAAAAGTTCAGGGCAACTCGCTTCTTTGCCCCCCCCATCCTTCATTCCACATACATACACCCGTCCACCTTACACAAAGGCCGGCCCTTTCTCCATTCTCCAACCCCCCCCCTCCCCACCCTTGCTTTTCTCCTTCAAGAAAGAAAACCAGTCCCTGCGGCAAGAGAGGGAGGCGGCGGAAGCTTCCATGTTTGAGATTCAGCAAAAGGCGCTTCGCGCCCAGGAGGACATGGCCACGGCGATGAGAACTAGACCCGCGTCTTCCTCCTCCGCGCCCAACTTGCCGGGCTTGGGCGCGGGAGCGGCGAGGCAGTCAGGGGCGGAGGCAGATGCAAGGTGGGTGGGGGGGTGCGGCTGGCGCGTCGGTGGAATTGTGCATTGGAATTGTGGATGGTGTTGTCGGTGCCGGCGGATGAAAAGTGCCGATGGTGGTGGTGATGGCGGTGGCGGTGGTGAATCGTAGGATGTTGGATCCCACACATGTCTCAGTCTCCGGCAGAGCATAACCGGTGATGGTCTAGCAGAGGAGGAGTGTCTACAATAATATTGTGTGAAATAGATCTTGCATGTCAACCATCATGTGTGAGTGCTTCTTTCCAGATTCCCGCGTACTACCTCCCAATTCTCTCCTCGGGGAAAGCAGGACAGAATAGAAAGAAAAAAAAATACGTGGTACGGGCCACGGTAGCCCCGAGTGAATTCGATCAGCCTCAAAACTGCCGGCCACACACGTACAAATCCTGTTCTCCCTCGCGCGGACCATCCTGGAGCAGGTACAAGGAAATCATCAAGCGCTTGAAGAGGTTGCTGGAAACGGAGCGGAGAAACCTGAGACAGGTGAACGAAGCAAAAGCCGAAATGACGAGGTGAAGGATGACAGAGCCGCCCCCTTCACTTACACACGAGGGCGTGCAGCCTTTCGCGTGGAGTCGCAACAGTTTTCGACCCCGTGTTCCGTTGCGCTACTACTACTGTGAGCTACCCCCACGGTTGGTTTGTCTTCTGTCGGCTGCTACTTGTTTCGTATTCATCTGCTGCCGTTTTTACCTTCACCATCTCTTCAGAACAGACCTACCTCGCGCGTGTACGCTCGTTCTTTACCCGGTATTGAATCACGTTTTTCATTTCGAGCTCCTGTGCCGACAGAGGGTGCCGTTGTTTTTGACGATCCGGTAGACGAGGTACTCAAGAAGCCATTTCGTTATTGCGTCTTTTCCTGACCGGCAGCCACTGTGCACGGTGTGCTTTGGCATCCGTTTCCTTGCCGCGGAAAGCCTCGTAGCACACACGCCGTGCGTTTGCCAACTAGCACCACTCACATCTCCCATGTCGCATGTGCTTGTGCACAATTGGCCTTTTGGGTGAAAGAGAGACACATGTCGTCGAAGGCCAGTTCGAATCTCGTTCTCCCGCGACCTGCTCAAGCACCTTTCATTTCTAGGAATCAGGTGAACCAAGCAGCAGAGTCCACTTTCCTGTGCTTGTGCGTGTCTGCGTGCATGTGTGTGTATGTGTCACGGACAGGTCCGATCGTCGTACGCCGCGGATCTCCAGCAACGCACCGAGCTCGAGAACCTCTTGAGAGGAGCCGTCGAAGAAGTTGTCCAAGAGGTACGGCCAGAAAAAGACCAAGAGACAGACACGACACACAGAAGAACACGAACGAGCAGTGGTCAGCGGCAAATACGTGATAGACGTTTGCTGCTGCTGCTGCTTCGCGTAACCGGAAAAGGCCTGTATGTGCGTTGGCGAATAATGGCAAACGTTGTTCGTTGCGAGGGGTTATTTTCCCTCCAACTCGAAAGTATACAATTCCGGTTAAATGTTTCCCATGCCATAGTCTTCCTTTTCGAGAAGGTTATGGGGGGATGTCAACATCGAGAATCCCTGTCGTCAGGTGCGAATAGAATGCAGAAGCAAAGACCACACAAACCGCGAAATGTTATTCTCGGCATCGCACACACTTCCCCTCCCCCCACTCGCTCCCCCCTCGCTGATACCATCACTTACACACCAATCAAGGTTTGTGAGATATTGCTCCTATTTCTCCAGCCCACTCTTGTCACCGACAAACCCTACGTATGTGGATGGCATGTGTTTGAAGCTTTCAGAAACATCGGCCGGGCTAACCGGCCAAAGAAAACAACGGATATACGTCAGTCGTAGCGAGTATCACAAGGAGATGGCCATCATCGTGGCTTGTTGGACGTAGTCCTCGGCTAGCAGCACAATACATGGTACTCCCTGCAAAAATTTTTCGACGGCTTAAATCTTGGCCTGTAGACACCGAAGCGTATCCACTCTAAGCAAGAGGTGACGGAGCGGACAACACAACAGTACCAGCAGCTGCAACCGCTCTCAGGATCAGCAACGTGTGTAGTGTTTGGCTTCAAATATCTAACGGTCTTTGCCCCCCGCCCCCGCTCCTGGCCCTCCTCGCCCAAGATACGGTCCAAGCAAAAGAGAGCGGCCAAGCTGGGATTGAAGGACGAGGGAAAGGCTGGCGGCGCCAGTGGCAGTGGGGGTGGAGCGGGAGGGCTCTCCTCCCCGAGGGTGTCGCCGGGGGCGTTCTCATCGACGCAGCGAGATCAGACCTTGGAGATGCTGCTGTCGAGAGAGCGCGTGCTTTCTCTGCTGTACGCCAAGGTACTGACGGGAACAAATGTGTGTCTCGTATTCGTTGTTCCACACGCCAAGGTGCTGCGGATATATTTGAAACACTATTTATTTCGGTTCTGTCGCCCGAGGATGCTCCTTTCATCAGTGGTTCGGTAGAAAAACTCAAGCGGTGCCTCAAAAAAGCATTGGGATCGGCGCGTAAGGCTTCGACAGCAGCACTCTTTTGTAGATGGACCAGGCCAGTCGGCCACTCGTGAACGAGCGACGCATCGACTTCGCTTGCTATCGCGTTTCCTACCTGGTGTGCCCTGAGCTGACCGTGCGTGGCGCTTTCCCCCCCCCACCATGTCCTTCCCATGCCCCTCCCTCCCTCCCCGCCCTGCTGGAAACGAATCGCTTGCAGACGTTCCCGCTGAGTCCATCGCCACAAAACCAGCAGGACGGTGGCGACGAGCTGGACGTTTCAAACGGCGCAGCTGCTGGGGCGGCGGGTGCAGGAGCTGGGACTGGGGCTGGGGTGGGAGCGGGGGTCGTGGCAGGGGGGGAGAAGGGAGCATGACGAAATCTCACGTCTGCTTCCCGTCTACAGATTTGGCGTAGACATGAGGCCCAACAAATAGACTAGTCTAGATAGCTCACAAAACGAGCATCCCACAAAACAGGTGATTGATAATGTGTTCTTGGGGTTGCCATAATCTGTATTATAATGCCAATAGGTGTCTAGTTTTCCGCGGGCGCGCAAAAGACAGCTAGCTACGCACCTCTTTCCGGAAATATTGTGTGCATCGTGTTACCCCCGCGTGTGCCAAAAATATTTTGTGAGCGTGAGGGACTCGTTTTGTGTGCGCTACGAGTACTCTACACACCTCCCTTGGTGTGCGATAGATTGATGCGTTTACCCATCTGATGGGTGAGGCGAGCTGATCGTAACTGGTTTGGAGTAAGGTGCAGCGGTTGTTTCTGCACAACACAACACTCTATTTGCAGGAGATGAATCTGCTTGTCTTTGATGGTACGTGCCACGGTCCTGGATTCAGTCTGGCATCATGTGTGGCATCCGTCGTCTATCTGAGGAGGTCGGAAACTTCGTCGAGAGCTACTAGTAGTACATAGACTACACCCGGTTATCTGCCACACAGCAGTATCTTCTGACAAGGAGTGGCATAGCAACAAGTTTGTATCACCCTCTGTTGGCGAGCTGACTTCGCCATCAAGTAGCGGGTGTGATATGTTTATACTCTAGTGTTCCAAGGTATGTCGATTTCTGCACGTCCTCCCGCCTTCATGCACACGCGACGTCCCGAATGCTATTCTAGTTTCTGTTGAAGATTGGCGTTGTCGACGAAACAACGTGCCTTCTGTTGGCAAATACACGAACGCAACTTGTAAAGCCCTCGGGTACCACCGTCCATTTCGAGTCGATGTAGCAATGGGCAAACGGACGGTAGGCGCACCGCAAGGGAAAATGGAATCATTTACAGTAACGATTGACGACGTTGTACGGTGTAAGCGGTGTTCCGGTGTTCTGTGGTATCTCCCAGTGGAACCCAATATACGGTACATAGACTAGCCACATATGCACACTAAGACGCAAGGAGGGTTCAGGGCTTCTTCCCTCCAGTGTACGCCCCGAGCAGGCTTTAGCACACGTGGTATGGCGCCACCACTTGCCGCTACCGTAAACTAAACCTCTGGACCCAAACAATATAACAACACCTTTGTAGTTGACCATAATCATGAGAACGGGTGGGTGTGCTCAGCTAAGAAAGATATTATATGATCGCTGCACAGTTTCCTTAGCGAGGTAACAAGAGTCGAACCTGTGGGGTAAACAAGAGGATGCTTTCGAAAGTGGGAGAAGAACGGTGGCCAGAGGTGTACGGTGTGCACCGATCACAACCTGCCCAGGATTGGGTGGGGAGGTAAAACGCTTTGGTGGAAGTTGAGGAAGCACTCATCCATACTCTATGAAAGTCATGGAAGTGAAGTCCACTTCCATGGAAGCAAAGACCACTTTAATGGAGATGACAACCGGTGGCATTGGTCCAAAAGTGTGAGGTAAAAGCCTCTCGGTAGAAGTTGAGGAAGCACTTAGTCATGCTCTATGGAAGGTATGGAGAAAAAGAAAAAACAAATTCCGTGGAAGCTGACATCCGGTGGCATTTGTCAAAAAGTGTGAAGCAGAACGCCTTGCTTGGTGGAAGTTGAGGAAGTACTCGGTCATATTCAATGGAAGTCATGAACGTGAAGACCACTTCCATGGAAGTAAATACCCCTTCCATGGATGCTGACAACAGGTGGCATTGGTCTAAAGTGTGAGGGATATCGCCTTGGTGGAAGTTAGGAAGCACTCAGTCGTGCCAAAACAACCCAATTTTTTTCTATCCCAAACGCCTCAACGGGAGGGCACCCGGATGAAGACGCTCTCATATGTAGTTGCGGTTGCAATGCGTCGTTGTTATGCTTTCTCTCGATTCTTGCTGTCATTTGTTTGCTTTTCCGTGTGGGGGCAGACCGAAAGAAACGG